ATCTTCCTAAGTCCTACTCTATTGTAAATATTTGTCTCTTTTCTCTGTCTTCTCCATGTACATCTCAGTTACCAAAAAAAAAATAAATCATCTATGTATTCCCAGTCGCTAGCACTGGTACCAGTTTCTGACACATAGTAGTAGGTGCTTAGGGAAAATTTTTTGAAGTGAATGTATCTCTGGAAGTTATATCGTCTTCAGAGGGTAGGCTTCAAATTGAGAGAAGATAGGAAAATTCATCCTTTGTGATATTATCCCTCCCTTTGATTCTTCTCAATAAACTGTGGGCTCCTTGAAGGTGAGGTATGAGGCCTAGCCTCTCTCTCTCCCCAGTACCCAGAACCTATAGCGCATGCAGTGCTCAGATGTTGAACTGAGTTGAACTCCCACCTCTAATCTTAGGTTGGACTTCATTATAGATTAACCTAGCCCAACCATTAGAGTCAAATAGCTTCCTGGCTTGATTCAATAAATGCAATCAAATTCAAATCTTGAATGTCTGCAATAAATCTTAGAGTTTAAAGTGCCAGATTAGACTATTCTGCCTTAATTTGTTTAGCTTTCTTTGATTTGAACACGGCCCATTAATTTAAATTAAATAAGCAATTCAAAGCCTGTGGACAATAAATTAGATAAATGTAAATGTCAGGGACTGCAATCCCCTGGCTATATTTTAAAGATAGTAAACATGTAAGACATCAGAACCAAATCTCCCTTTTGATGATGATAATGAGATGTTCCAGATCAAGAGTAAAACTGGGACTTATTTTAAAAATCCACAGACACTACAGACATCCCAGCAACAAATTCTCTATTTCTGTGCGTGGAAGTTGCCCTATTTCAAGTACAGCTTTAGAAGTTATCACTAAATTGTTTGCATTGTTGTGCTATTTTAAAGAATCAGGTTGTGATGATGGTTTAGGAATCTGCCATCCCATAATAGATGCTTTGTTTCTGGGGATCATTTGTGGATGTGCATTACAAAGCTAACTAAAGTGCTTTCCTCCATCCCCCACAGTTTGTCAGAACTTACCCTCTTCTACAGAAAACCACAGCAACTAATAATTTGGTCAAATGGTCAATTTAGTGGGCAATAACAGCAAAACACAAGAGTTATATGAATCAGCTGAGAGTTTGTTTCACAGATCAGATCAGTAAATACAACAAAATGAACTGATGCAGTTTTCTAACACCAAACAAGCATGTTTGCTGTTGACATATTTGCTCGAACTTCCTCTGTACTATAGTATTCTGAGGTAGGACTTCAGAAATACTACTCAGGAAGACATACAGATGGCCAAGAGGCACATGAAAAGGTGCTCAACATCGCTAATTACTAAAGAAATGCAAATCAAAACTACAATGAGATATCATCTCACACCGTCAGAATGGCCATCATCATAAAATCTACAAACAATAAATGCTGGAGAGGGTATGGAGAAAAGGGAACCCTCTTGCACTGTTGGTGGGGATGTAAATTGGCACAGCCACTATGGAGAACAGTATGAAGGTTCCTTAAAAAACTAAAAATAGAGCTAACATATGATCCAGCAATCCCACACCTGGGCATATATCCAGAGAAAACTCTAATTCAAAAAGATACATGCACCTAAATGTTCATAGCAGCACTATTTACATTAGCCAAGACATGGAAGCAACCTAAGTATCCATCAACAGATGAATGGATAAAGAAGATGTGGTATACATATATATATATATATATACAATAGAACACTACTCAGCCATAAAAAAGAATGAAATCATGCCATTTGCAGCTACATGGATGGACCTAGAGATTATCATACTAAGTGAAGTAAGCCAGACAGAGAAAGACAAATATGACATGATATCACTTACATGTGGAATCTAAAATATGATACAAATGAACTTATATACAAAACAGAAACAGACCCACGGACATAGAAAACAAATTTATGGTAACCAAAGGTGGGGGGATAAATGAGGAGTTTGGGATTAACGTATACACCCTACTATATATAAAATAGATAAACAACAAGGTCCTTCTGTATAGCAAAGGGAACTAACTATATTTAATATCTTGTAATAACCTATAATGGAAAAGAATATGAATAAGAATATATATAACTGAATCACTTTGCTGTACACCAGAAACTAACCCAACACTGTAAATAAACTATACTTCAATAAGAAAATACTATTCAGTAAAACAGCTCTGCAGAATCTCAGATGTTCATGTTCATTTGAGCTCTTCCATGGGCATGCACATATACAGGCTTTGCTCTGACATATGGATAGATAATTGTTCCCAGTAGTTCTCTGATTTTTGTAGAGACTCTTGCCTGAGCTGCAGGTGCTAACTTGTAACACAGTAACCCATATTCAAAGGGTTCCCATTTTAAATGTAGGAAGAAAAATGTAGTCACAGAAAAGCCAGTTTGTGCTGTGTCCATGACAATGTTAATACTTAAAATAACAGCTCTCTTCCTATTAGAAATATTCTTTGCATAAGAATCCATTGTTGGTTTTCTTAGTTTTCTTTCTTTCAAGAAAATAAACTGTGTTGAGAAAGGCACTGTGTCCAAGTTACAAAAACAGTTTCTAGGATGCATGGTCATCATAATTAAATAGTTCAGCTTGGATTTGCTACTGCACTATCAACAGCTTAAAGCTGAAAATTTTTAACAAACCTACATCCAGCTGAGATACATATACATATGTCATATTTGTGAAACGTGGCGTGAGTCTTGCCATGACTCTAGTGCAATTACATTTTAAGCACCAACAACTCCATAGCCCTTTAGGGACTAAAGGGTTTCCCCCTTAAACACTAAACACATCTGACAGAGATATTCATATGAATGCTTTCACGACTAAGAGCTAGCACTGACCAGAACATGGGGATTTGGGGAAACAGTGAGAATAAGAATGCTTCAGTGAATGTATGATGGTTATTAGAAAACCAGGAGCCTGTATGAGAAGATGGATACAAGGAAACAAAAAGTTAGGGGCTTTATCAGCCAGGGTCCAAGCGGGAAATGGACGGCACACTCTTCTTGGATAATTTGAGGAGGAATTAGCATAGGGACTATTTGCAAAAGCATGGGAGCATTTAGGAAAAGCAACAAGGAATTGTGAAGTGCCCCAGGGATAACAACAGGAGCTGTTACCAACGCTAGGCTTGAAGGGGCAAAGGAGAGAATGATTATTGGTACCCAGAAAGCATATAGAAATAGCTCAGAGATATTGTGGGTTTGATTCCACACCACTGCCATAAAGCGAATATAGCAATAACATGAGTCATGAATGTTTTGGTTTCCCAGTGCATGTGAAAGTTATATTGTAGCAATAGCATTATGTCTAAAAACAAGTACATACCTGAATTAAAAATACTTTATTGCTAAAAATGCTAACCATCATCTGGGCCTTCAGAGAGTTGTAATCTTATTGCTTGCAGAGGGTCTTGCTTTGATGTTGAGGGCTGCTGACCAATCAGGGTGATGGTTGCAGAAGGCTGGGGTGGCCGTGGCACTTTCTTAAAGTAGGACAACAATGAAGTTTGCTGTACAGATTGACTCTTCCTCTCACAAAAGATTTCTCCGTAGCATGCAACAGTGTTTGATAGCATTTTACCCACAGTAGAACTTCTTTCAAAATCAGAGTCAGTCCTCTCAAAACCTGCTGCTGCTTTATCAACTAAGTTGATGTCATATTCTACATCCTGTGTTGCCATTTCAACAATCTTCTCAGCCTCTTCACCCAGGAGTAGATTCCATCTCAAGAAACCACTTTCTTTGCTCATCCTTAAGAAGCAACTCCTCATCCCTTAAAGTTTTATCATGAGATTGCAGCAATCCCGTCACATCTTCAGCCTCCGCTTCTAATTCTAATAGTTCTCTTGCTATTTCCACCACAAATGCAGTTACTGCCTCCACTGAAGTCTTGAACCCCACAGCGTCATCCATGAGGGTTGGAATCAACTTCTTCCAAACTCCTGTGAATATTCCTATTTTAACCTCTTCCCACGAACCACAAATGTGCTTAACGGCATCTAGAATGGTGAATTCTTTCCAGAAGGTATTCAATGTACTTTGCCCAGATCCATCCGAGAAATTACTATCTATGGTAGCTATCACCTTATGAAATGTATTTCTTAAATAATAAGACTTGAAAGCCAAAATTACTCCTTGATCCATGGGCTGCAGAATGGATGCTGTGTTAGCAGGTGTGAAAAAAATATTAATCTCATTGTACATCTCCATCAGAGCTTTTGGGTGACCAGACACTTATCAATGAGCAGTAATATTTTGAGAGGAATCTTCTTTTCTGAGCAGTAGGTCTCAATGGTAGGCTTAAAATATTCAGTAAACCATATTGTAAACAGATGTGCTGTCATCCAGACTCTGTTGTTCCACTTGTAGAGCACAGGCAGAGTAGATGTAACATAATTCTTAAGGGCCCTGAGATTTTCAGAATGGTAAATGAGCATTGGCTTCAACTGAAAGTCACCAGCTGCATTAGCCCCTAACAAGAGAGTCAGCCTGTCCTTTGAAGCTTTGAAACCAGGCATTGACTTCTCCTCTCTAGCTATGAAAGTCTTACATGGCATCTTCTTCCAATGGAAGGTTGTTTCATCTCCGTTGAAAATCTGTTGTTAATGTAGCCATCTTCACTAATGATATTAGCTAGATCTTCTGGATAACTTGCTGCAGATTGTACATCAGCACTTGTTGCTTCACCTGGCACTTTTATGTTATGGGGATGGCTTCTTCCCTTAAACCTCATAAACCAACCTCAGCTAGATTCAAACTTTTCTTCTTAGCTTTTATAGAATTTTAGAGAGTTAGGACCTTGCTCTGGATTAGGCCTTGGCTTAAGGGAATGTTGTGGCTGGTATGATCTTCTATCCAGACCAGTAAAACTCGCCATATCGGCAATAAGGCTGTTTTGCTTTCTTATCATTCATGTGTTTACTGGAGTAGCGCTTTTAATTTCCTTCAAGAACCCCCCTTTGCATTCACAACTTGGCTAACTATCGAGCACAGACAACAAACTTTTGGCCTACCTTGGCTTTCAACGTGCCCTCCTCACTAAGCTTAATCATTTCTAGGTTTTGATGTGAGGTGAGAGACATGCGATTCTTAAGTTCACCATCTTATACGGGCGCAGTTCGTGGCCTCAAAACAATGACAATAGTAACATCAAAGATCACTGATCACAGATCACCATAACAAACATAATAATAATGAAAAGTTTGAAATATTGTGAGAATTACCAAAATGTGACCCAGAGACACAAAATGAGCCAACGCTGTTGGAAAAACGGCACTGATATACGTGCTGGATGCAGGATGGCCACACACCTTCAGTTTGTAAAAAATGCATTATCTGTGAAGCACAATAAATTGAAGCATGATAAAACGAGGTGTGCCTGTAGTAATATGGAGAGGGCCACAGGACAGGAGCTGTGGCCTTTAGTAGAGGGACATTGTCGTCCCATTGTAGAACAGCAGGGGGCAAGGCAGGGGAATACATACCCCGATCTCACTTTCATCTTTTTCTCTCACCTGTCATTGTCTCCCACTGCCCAAACCCAACAAGAAGTTGAAGGCAAAGGACCTTATTGATGTAAGTCTATGTAAGTCAGCCTCCCAGGGCAATAAGCAAGGTGCAGAAAAATACAGAGTTTTCCACTTGTAAGGCTTTCTGGAAAAAAGTTACCTCATGCCTACATGTCTCTCAAGGTGGATATGATTATAAATAGATTTACTGTGAAGAAGTGAATTAATTCATTTTAATTAATTGATATAATTGAAGATTACCATAGAACAATTTGAGTACAGTTACAATTTTATGGCATAATTTGCTCTGTACATTGGTTGCAGATTTTGGTAAATAAAGTATGCGGCATAGTAGAGAACAGAGAACTTAGCGTCAGAAGATCTGGGTTTTGGTTCTGACTCTGCAAACTGACATGCTTTGTGACTTCAGACAAGGATTTTAATTCTCTGAGCTTAGTTTATATATGGGTTAAATGGATAAGAATACTTGTTCTGTTTGTCCATACCCCAAAGGGTGGTTGTATGGATCAGATGAAAATATATTAAAAAAATGTATAAACCAGAATATCTCTTCTAACACGAGTGTCTACTCTTCTAGCATTGCAAAATAGAGTTTAAAGATAAACGCTGGGCTTGTAGCGAAATAAGCTGACTTTTCATTATTTTTTTTTTTACACTGACAGATCTATCTCCTTCCACCCAGACAGGATTCTGCCAGCTTCCCCCCAGATCTAATTAGGTTTTAAATGAGATTCAGGAAGACATAATAGCTTATTCTGATTGTTCTTTTTATATCATACAGTCTCTAAATATTCATTGTGCTCATATGATTAAGCTGTAAATCAGTGGGCTTTTTTGAATTTTTTATTTTGCCCCATATATTTGGCTCTAACAGTCATCTTAGCTTCCTATCAGTTTTTACTCTTTTCACATTGCCTTTACTCATTTTGCTTTGTCTGAAAAGCTCCTAATCATATTTCAACACCCTAAGTAAATATCCCCTCTTCAGAAAAGCCCCTCCTTACACCTAAGTAGATTTGTACCTTTTCTGTTTGGTACATATAGTGCTTGGAACAAATCTCTGTTGTCACAGGTATCACTCTGCATCGTGTTAGAATTATTTGCTTTTATTTCTGTATTTCCTAGTAGGCTCTGAGGGTCTTGAGTGTAAGGGCCATGCTCTATCTGGGGTTCTATCTCCATCAACGAGCAAAGTGCCTGGCACTTCATGTGGGCTCAGTTCATTGGAACTCAAGTTCTGGGGATAGGTGTAAGTAAATTAAAAAAGAAACGTAGAGGCCTAGTTTAACTGAAGTGTCATTTCTACTCCTCAAATTAGTTCATCAGATTCAAACTGCTAATATTTGGGACAAGATACTCATTTCTTTTAGGGTAGAGCTTCAACAGAAGATAAAACACTGACTTAGATGAAAGTTCTCAAAAGTGTCCCAAGCTGAGAGTGATCATGAATGCATATACGTTGAGGAAAAACTTGCCTGAAAAATGAACTTGAAAAATGTTACCAACCACCTTAAAGCTGTACGCATGTGACAGGGTATGGATAAGATTTTGGTAGCTTTTTTTCTGTTAGTGCCTGTTTTCCATTTTTGCTAATTCATTTTTGTTATCTGTGAGTACTCACTAGCAGACATATTGTAACAAGAGCTAGAGGTTTAAGCAAAAAATATTTATGGGAATAAATAATTAAAATAGAAAAACAGTATATCTATTGACTTACCTGCCCCTAGCCCTCCCCCCTCCATCACACACACAGAGACAGACAACTTAATGGTAAACAGGTACAATCAGTATTCCGTGAAACCTAGTTTGTTACGTTGGCCTTTTTCTTAGCCAGAATTTGTCAGGTTTGAAGATAAAGGCAGTGGCTCAAAAGGATGATTTCTCTGCCTCTGCCTTTATGAGATAGATGGACTGATGGACAGCAGAGGACAGTTCTGAAAGCTCTATTTGTGATTATCTGATCATAGGGGTTGGGCTAAAGAATGGGGAAGCAGATTTGAGATTCCGCACATGATTTTTCCTCTTTTTGTAACAAATAAAGGCCAAACTGATGCTTAGATTTTATTAGCATGGCTTTTTTAAACGTCCTTTCAAAATACCTCAGGGTTCAAAAGATAACTTTGTACCGGTCTGCATGACCCAATCAGAGGAGTGTTTTGAGTTTTTAAAATTTTCTCCTTAAAGAAGATAATGTAGCTGAACCAATATTGCTAGACCTCCCTCTCCTTTGTCTGTATTTTAGGAAGCAATAAATCAATGAATCATAAGCGCCTTTCTCCACTTCTAGAGAGTTGCGGGCTTGGGGGAGAAGATCCAATAGGAAGGTGGTTCTACTGTGATAGGCAAGAATGGTAAAAGCCATTACAAACATCCCTGCCTCTCAGGACGATGCCGTAAGAGTCAACTTGACTATTCACTAGTGCTCCCTGGAATAGGAAAAAATGAGGAACGGCGGCTATCAGGGTACTCATGCAGCTGAGCCATGGTCCAGGAGGAGCCATTAACACTGTCCACCAGGAGTGACATTCATCCCTGTGGTGACGCATATGCCCAAACCATAAGAGCGTTCCATACTTCAGCCAAAGGACAATGGATGAGAGGCGGAAATACTGAGTGGTTGGTCTCATTTCTTATATCTTTCTATTTTTATCAGTCCTTTCAACAACAAGCTTTTTTTTTTTTTTTTTCCGGTACGCGGGCCTCTCACTGTTGTGGCCTCTCCCGTTGCGGAACACAGGCTCCAGACACGCAGGCCCAGTGGCCATGGCTCACGGGCCCAGCTGTTCCGCGGCATGTGGGATCTTCCCGGACCGGGGCACAAACCCTTGTCCCCTGCATCGGCAGGCGGACTCCCAACCACTGCGCCACGAGGGAAGCCCCAATAAGCTTCTTTTTAAATGCCCAATTTTGAAGGATACTTAATTTCATTGAACTATGTGGTTATGTTAGGGAGAAGTGAAATAGAAAGTAAATTATTGAAACCAGCTCACAGAAATCATTCTATAACACACACATCTCCCTCTTCTGTTCAATCCATATTCTGACTTTTGGAAAGAAAGCAGGCAGACCTGATTTTCAAGGACCCAAATGCTTATAATATTTTCATTTGCTATAGCACCCTGTCAGCTAGTCCTTTGTATGCTGTCTTTTATTATTTTTTTTTTTTGCGGTACGCGGGCCTCTCACTGCTGTGGCCTCTGCCGTTGCGGAGCACAGGCTCCGGACACGCAGGCTCAGCGGCCATGGCTCAAGGGCCCAGCCGCTCCGCGGCATGTGGGATCTCCCTGGACCGGGGCACAAACCCGTGTCCCCTGCATCGGCAGGCGGACTCTCAACCACTGCGCCACCAGGCAAGCCCTGTATGCTGTCTTAATTTCTTCAAAGGCCAGGACTTTTTCATAGCTAGTACAGTGTAAGAGTCCTGGACTAAAGCAGAATAACTGAATCTTAGTCCTAACTCCACCTCCTAGCTGTGTGGCTCTGGACAAGTCTCTTCATCTTATTAGGCCTCAATTTCTTCATCAATAAAATGGTTATATTACCATACTGCTTACCTCACAGAGTGAAATGCATCCTCCATCATGGGTGTGAAGAATACTCCATCTGCAAAGGGATATGCAAATATAAGGAACTGTGCCCCTGTTGCTGTGGGATGGCAGGGAACAGCACAACTGTCTCCTGACTAAGAATAGTCTAGGGACAGAAAGTAAAATGACTGACTGAATAATAGATCCAGCCCTAAGCCCCAGAGAACAGGCCTATGTGTTTAAACAATGCATGCACAAGCCTAATATACATACAGATGTGTCTAAAACAAAACTCACATAATCAGAAAAATTGAGAGCTAGAAGTCACCTTAGAGATCTAGCTCTTACTCTGTTTGATGGATGGAGAAGCTGAGGTTTTCTTTTCACCTAAAACAAGGTGCTCTCCCTCACTTCCCAATATATCTCTTGGTCAGCTTCCATCTTGATTCTCCTAACTCTCATCCAACCAGTCAATTGCCAAAATCTACCTTTGCAATGGCTAGCCATTTCCTTCCATTCATCCTCCTTCAGGCGCTAATACTTCATGCCTGTTCTTATAGTAACCTCCTAACTTGCTCCCCTTCCCTCCCCAATTCATCCTCATGTTACCAGGGCAACGTTCCTAAATGATTACTTTTATCATTTGCTTCACTGACAAAATATTTTAAATGTCTCCCTGTGGCTGTAGGATAAAGAATAAACTCCTTAGTCTGACTTTTAAGATTCCCCACAATACACCTCTGATATTCCTAGTGTATCCCCTACTATTTATTTTACATGAACCCTGTGGCCCTGGGAAGCTGGGATCCTTACTATTCCTCCAAATGCTTCCCTACAATTTACGTGTCTTTTTTTTTTTCCCCTCTACCAGTATGCAGTCATCCTCTTCCCGTAGCAAATGTTTCTCTTGGGAACAACCCAACCCCTACTGGATACAAGCTTGGTAGACCATCAAGCAAGGTACCCAAAGTGGGAATGTGACTCTAATTGGGCCAAGCTCTCTCTGTCTGGAATTTTCACTCAGAATGAAGTTATATAAGTACTAAACACAAGGCTTGGGCCTGATTCACCTAGAAAGTGATCCCTGAAGTATTGTTAATTAGATATTACTCCCTAGGATTCTCTGCCCTCTGTCCTTTCTGAAGTTTGCTTCCTTCGCTTTTCCTTCAATTTTCTAAGCTATCTCATATTCTTCCAAGAAATGTGCTCTTTCGCATAGTCAGGGCAAGTTGCTCTTATTATCAAGAGC